ATCACACATTCATTTTTATTTTTAATAAAGAAAAAATTATATTATTTTTAAATAAAAATTTTAATTATTTCTTCTAATTAACAAGTTTTGTTTATTAAGCTAATATATATTTTTTATGATAAATTAATGTAAACAAATGAAAATATAATAATCACTTAATATTATTAAAGACAAAAAAACAAAGTTGAAACTAATTAAGTAAGTATTAATTAAAAATTATAGCTAAAAATTAAAAAAATTAAAAAAGATAAATTTGTCAATAAAATTAAAAAATTCAATTTGCTAGTGGTTTGTTATAAAATGTTATCTAAACTAGTTTTTTCAATCTGTTAGCGGTTTGGATTCTAATCATTATTTATTAGTTCCAAACCGCTAAATAAAAATTTTTATCAAACACTTTATCTGTAACGATTTCAAAATATACAAGTTTATTAAACACTTATTCTTAGTGATTTGAAAAAAAATATTAATTGCTATTTACTACTCTCAAACCGCTATATCAAATAAGTCTTAAAAGGATTGTGGGAGATTTTAATTTATACATTTAATTTTTTTAATTTTTAAAAAAAGAAATATAGAAAAATATTTTATTTCAATTATTTTTTAATTAGTCAATTTTAAAAATTATTTAATTAAATAAAAATATTATCATTCTCTTCCTCTACTATCTAAATAAAGTTGATATCAAAATTTTCCTTCCCTTTCCCTCTCCTTTCCTTTCCCTTCTCCACCCTTCCCTTTTCTTTATTAATTATTTTATTAATTTTTATCCAAACAGAAGCTAAATCTTGAGTAAGGTGAGAAAAGATAAGGTGAAAAGCAAAAAGGTCAGTTTTGCCCTCAAACTTAATTCATGCAAATTAGTCCCTATACTATTTTTTTAGGCTTATCACCAACTAAACTCGTAATTCTGAGCCAACTCCACCCTTATGTAAAAAGATTTCATCCATTCCTCTATTAGACCCGTTATCCCTGATAAGCAGGTGTCCACAAGGTATGCTCTCTTTGCCAACGTGGCTTTCTAGTTCATTAGTTATTCAGAATTACTCATGTTGCCACTAAAATTTTGTTATACCCTTCTATTACCTGCCAAAATTTAGGGACATAGATTTTACAATTTCAATTCAACAAATTGCAGTTCTAACTCCTAATTCTTTTCCCCATTTCAGATTCTGATGAAATACCAAGGTGTCTTAATGAGGTATGATTTTTGGTTGGTTCACAACTTCACATATCCCTTGATGCGTATAATTTCCTATTGAGACCGCATTAAGAGTAGAAAGCAAAAGGACTCAGGTGCCTGTGACGTTCCCTCCCAAGCACATTTTCCATACCGTATGTAATTACACTAGGAGGAGACGGTGAAAACAAAACAACCTCAGAGGAAAGAGCAGCCCCTAACTCTGCCATCTATTCCACAATTATATTGTGTTAGAAAAAGATAAGAAGAAAACAAAAGGATTAGAAAGTTTAGAGACGTGATCTTACCTTTTTTAAAAAAATTTAAAAATCATTTAAGATATAATAAAATTTAAAAACTCTCTTAAAATTAAATTTAGAACATGAATTTTATAAAAAAATTTATAGTGGACGAATGGAGAATAGCTGAAGGGATATATATTTCAAAAAGACACTAGCCAAAAGGATGTGTCTTTATAGGAAAATATTATTATGAAAAAGCACCTTTCAACTATCAAAAATTGTGTATGAAATTCAGATATATCATTTCAATTTTGAGAAATTAAATTAAATTAAAAATTAAAAATTAAAAATTAATTAAAAAAACTAATATAAAGGGTAAGGCTTAAACTCAAAGCCCTCAGGCATTGAGTTTCAACTTTTTATAATCATTTATGAACAAAAAATAAACATATATAAATCCCTTTATTTCTTTATTTTTCTCATATGTTGGACTTTTTCCATTTCAAACTATTTAATATGTAGCATTAATGAAATACTAAAAGATTGAACCAATAAACTGAGATGATGAGGAGGTGTTGCCCCAGGTCGGGTGGAGGGCAAAAACCAAGTCGTCCCGCGTAATCTTCCAAACTCGTGACAATCGTTTTGGGGGCAGATAGTTCTTATGGGCCAAAAGATTTAAGGACAGAATTCCGTGGCTGTTGGGATAAGGACCAAGTCAGTTGTTCTTGCATTGTGATATTGCTTTTAGACAATGGTTAAAATGCTTTGCTTGGTGGAGAATCTCTGCTGTTTTAGTTAGAAATGATCGGAAGCTTTTGAGCGGCAAGCTTTGATATTTTTTCCATTCAATGGATATGATGAGAAATGGGTGGAGGACTAAGAAGTTTGCTTGCACTTTTGGACCACTTGACTTGGCTGGTTGGTAGGAATGAATGGAATTTTAGAAATAGTGCGGTAAACCTATAGATGTTGACACGCTGTTTGAACTAGTCCAACTTAGATCTTTCTATTGGCTGAAGGCTAGATTAAAGGGACGTTGATTTCATTTTTCTAACTGGTTCTACGATCCACAAGTCTGTTGCAGGAGAGGTAAATTATTGGAAGATCTGATTTTCTTTTATGTTCTTTTCTTGAACCTCCTTTCATTCTCCTCCCACAAGGCTTGAAGGATCAAATGCCAAATTTTCTAACAAGATTTTTTCCGCAGTGTAGGTATTTAGAATCAGAGATATATTGCTTTTCATTTGTTAGGCAGGGATTAACGACTTTTAATAACTTTAGTGTAGTCCTTTGCCCAATTCATGGATTATGCTTTTTCATCCCAATTCCTCTCTATACATAGTGGCTGCTTAACTTGAACAATGGTTAGAAGACTTGGAAGGAATGAGAAAGCCTTCGGCATTCGTCTTCGAAATTTCTACACCTTGTCCACTACTCTCACGACACAAGTCATTCTATATATACGTCTTATCAGGTTAGTACTTAATTACACAAGGTATACAGTTGAAAACTGTTGGGGAGACATTGTAACCAAAAGACTAGTCATTCCTTTCATATTTCTTTGATGTGAGATCTTTGTTCTTCACACTCACAAGGGAAACATACTTCAACAAAACCACAAGCATTTCACAGGATGAAATTGGCTAGCTTCACTCCCATTTCCTATTTCCTCCTCTTATGCTGCAGCATGTTCTGTTCCCCATACTTCCATAACTCATTTGTTGTCGGAACAAGACCTCCATCAACATGCTCAGGTCTTTACTCTCTCTTTCCTAGTTTCTTACAGAATTACTTTTCAGTCAATTGGTACTAACAGCTTGCAATTTCAGGTCCTGCACAAGGATACAGGGGCATGCTGGTAGCCCCTCGATATGGACCCTGCTCGCCAGTGGGTCATGAGAAATCATATGCTGTTTCTACCCAAATTCTTCACAAAGACAAACTAAGGGTCCGATTCATCAATACTTTAGCATTCTCTCGTAAGTATGTGCTTGATGCTCATGGAAAAAAGACACATCAACTCCGTATTCCTGGCAAAGGCTTGGGTGCTGGGAACTACGTTGTCACCCCTGGTGTCGGCACTCCTGCACGTGATTTCAAATTGACTATTGACACTGGCAGCCACGACACCTGGATAAGATGTGAACCAGGACTGAAATCTTCATCAACATTCCGCAAATTACCCTGCGATAATAATTGCACCAATTCCATTAAATACTTTGATGGTTCCAAAGTTGAAGGATTCTGGGCATCTGATACCCTCACAATTTCGCCCTCTTACTCGATCAAACAGTTTAATTTTGTTTGTGTTAACCGAACCAAAATAAACGGGCTGCTAGCACTTGGACCAGGTGATAATTCTCTTGCAACTCGGACAAATGTGTTTTGTCACTGCCTCCCTTCCGAAGATGCAACAGGGTATCTTCTGTTCGGCCCTGAAGCTCGTGAAATTTGCCGAGTTGGGAAATTCACACCGCTCAACCCACAAGAAGACAGTGGCAGATATTTGGTAAACTTTGTTGGAATAAGCGTTGGCAACAAAACATTGAAGATTTCTCATGCAACATCATCTTCACCAGGCACTATGATAGACTCCGGAACTGTCATTACTCGCCTTCCACTGCCAGTCTATAAACAATTCCGCACAGTTTTCAGAAAACTCATGGAGGAATACAGCCTTGTTAAGCGACCCCCTAGCGAGGATCTCTTGGAAACATGTTATGAGCTCAAGGGGTACAAATACAGTACCGTGAAAATCCCTGCTGTGGTATTGCATTTTGAGAATATAGATATCAATTTGGACGGATCACAAGTTCTTTGGAAAGAAGGAAAGTCTCCGGTTTATTGCTTGGCTTTTGCAGGAAACAAAAATGATGACCATATGGTGATTATCGGTAACCACCAGCTGCAAAAGCTGAATGTTCTGTATGATATCCAGAAACGTAGCATGGGAATCGGGCCCGGTAACTGTGGTTGATGATGCCCAGAAAATCAGATGGGAACCTGAATAGTAGTTGTTTTTGCAAGATTAATTTGGATCAATTTCTGCTTCTTCTTTTTTTTTTTTTTCACTTCCTTTCCTCTGTTTTTCATGCTAAAGAAAGATTGGAACAATTATAAATGAAGAAGTCCAATGTATCTTTCTTTTTTAAGATATTTAATAGAAATTCATTACATAGCAATTATAAAAAAAATAAAAACATTACATTAAGCCCTCTGGGCATCCAAAAGATAAACAAAAGCCTTCTCATAAAGAAATAAAATCATTAGAAGTAGCTTGATGATATATTATTGAGCTCAGTATTAAGCTCAGTTCGAGTTTGTTTGTTACTTGAGCTCCAATAGAACAGCTCGCAGTTAACCCGAGCTACTCGACTCATTTAGTGCTCTATTCTTCAATGCAGAGGGTGCCTTCTTCCGTAATGGCATCTATCTCATCGGCCAACTTTCAACCGAGCATGGAGTAAATGGTATCCACTAGCTCGTTTTTGGTTTCACCGCCAGAGAATTACAGCATGAGATTAGATACCATTAGCCTTGAGTTGGTTCATCGGAAAACATGGGCCGAGCTTAAGATTTGTAGTCCTTGGTTATGACTGATTTTGAGTCATATTAATCTAAACACACGAATAGATCATCAGAACTTTATCACCTATTGACATTTCAATCAATCAAAAGCACTAGTTGCAAGCTCCTCTCTAAGTCTATCACATCTCGAAATCGGTGTCGACATAACTTTTCCTATAACTCTACATATATTGACTCCTTAATAACTTTTTTTACATTAATTTTTTATTAAATATAACAAAGTTAATAATTTAATAAAATTTCATTAAAAAAAACTTTTATATAAGACTTTCTATCTTTCAGTCTAATGTTTTACTAAATACTTTCCTAGTAAAATTGCCCTCTAACTAATATTAGGGTGGGTGTTTGGAATGGCAGTGGTGTCTCTCACTTGTCATTTCCAACTACTGTCTAGAACCTGCTGGTGGGGATTACGCTGTATTTCTCTGTTTGGATGAAAGAAAAATTAGGGTATAAATAAATAAAGACAAATAATTAATATATATTTGATTTAATATATTGGTTAATATTTATTTAATTTAATTATTAAAAATATGGCAGTGGGGTCTCTCACTTGTCGTTTCCAACTACTGTCTAGATCCTGCTGGTGGGGATTGCGCTGTATTTCTCTGTTTGGATGAAAGAAAAA